ATTGGTCATCACAAAATTGTGCATATATTGTATATAAAATTTTTGCACTGGGCAACATAGAAGAAAAGTAATTAACATGAAATAGGATTCATTTCTAAAAAAATATGTTGGTTGTCACTAAAATATTCCTTTCTGTTTCAGGTATGTTTTTTACAATATTTTTAGCGCATTTTCTCATTTATGGAAAAAATGCATTATTGTGCTAGCCATGTCTGTCCATCTGTCCGTCCGTCTGTCTGTGACCTAAAGTTTTTGTCGACAAGAAAATGCGCTCTCTGTCACTCACTGCAGTGAGTACTGAGTTATATTTTTTTGTTATAGTGAATTCACATGATTCAATTGAAATGGTGTGAAATTACAAGTTGTCCTGTAAGCTTACAGATACAGATGAATGCTATACAGCTGCTGATATGAAGCTTGCAGAGGACAAGGTTGTTGTCAATGCTCAATGGCATGTTCATGGATATGGGAATGTCACATGAATAATATGGTAATTTATTGATATGGTAATATCTTATCAATAAAGTAAAAACGAGTAAAAATTTCAGAAAATGTCATTTACTACATGTACATCATCTACAAAGGAAGAGGAAGACTTCAGAGTTCAGATTACTGTTAGTAATAGATGAGTACATTTTGCATGCTTCAAATGCTTTAAAATTAGGTTTTATTTCAAGTGTCCCAGATTACCCCATTCCCAGGGGTAATTTGGTATGCTTTTATTTTGTGTCTGGCACCTCGCAATTAGCATATAGATTTTTTTAAGATGACATACAATAGCCCTTGCAAAGAGTTTTAAAAAGACCCCAAACTTGTTTATGAAATGTTTCATGGTAAGAAGTTATTAACAAAAAATGCTCAAAACCATCCCCTATTATGCCCTATTTTATGGTATATTGCCAATACCGTAAAATGGGGTTACTTTTACTACTGCAGGGTAACTTTGACCACTTTTCATTTTTTTTAATAAAAACCCCCAAAACTCAAAAACTATTTGACATAGAAAAATTGTGTCAATGGCCGTTAAAGACCTAATTCTGAGGCTATGTAACACAACAGAAAGATTTAATAAGTTTGCATATCTAATAGGTTGAAAAATTAAAAATGTGACCCACAAAAAAGAGCTATTACCGTCAAACAGGGTAAAAAGGGATGGTTTTGAGCATTTTTTGTTAATAACTTCTTACCATGAAACAATTCAGAAAAAAGTTAAGGCTCATTTTATAGCTTTTTGCGAGGGCTATCAAATTACATCTTCAAGAAAATTCCGTATGCTATTTGTAAGGTGCCAGACGCAAAATAAAACCGTCAATTCTATGTACAATTTTGTGATGAACAATGATGCACTAATTTTTCGATAAGTGAATTTTTTCGCTGAGCGAGGTAAATGTAATCAAATTCTTTGTTGATAATCAATTTTTTTGTTAACTGTTGCCTTTGCTAACTGAGGTTCTACTGTAAATGCATTTTTAAGGGTGTCCCTAATTACCCCAGGGGGTGTCTCTTTTTACCCCGTCGTGTGGAAATGGCTGCCATTTTTTTTAATGGGATGGCAAATTCCATCAATTACGTTTTCAAGCCAACACCTGGGCGCAACTTTTATGTAAGTAAAGTTTTTTAATACGGCGAATATTTTTTTTGCTCCAGACCTTAGCAGTGTACTTTTCCAAAATCGCACTTTTCACACTTTTTTCAGCAATTTTTTAGAGATAGTAAATGTTTGATTTCTTGACTAGCTCTACACATAATAGATAGTAAAAATGTTGAAGTTTACGCCACTATTACTAGTTTTGCAATATTTTGATTAGTTTTGCTGCTACAACATTTCTACAAAATGTGGGACGCGTATCCCGATTTACCCCGCCAGTCCCTTTTTACCCTGTTTGACGGTAATTTATTTAACAGTATATATGATAGGAGAGATGTTGTCAAATGGAGCAATAAAGGAAAATTTTTTAGCTTCTTTGTAAATAACTTCTTACCATGAATCATTTCTTGAACAATTTTATACTCATTTTAAAGGTTTTTGCAAGGGCTATTGTTTGGCATCTCTGAAAAGTTGCATATGCTATTCATGAGGTGCCAGATGCAAAAGAAAAGTGCCTCAAATTACTCCTGGGAATAGGGTAATCTGGGACACTTGAAATGAAACTTGATTATGAAACATTGGAAACCCGCAAAGTGTACTCATCCATTACTAACAGTACTCAGAAGTCCTCCTCTTCCTTTGTAGATGATGTAGATGTAGAATAAATGACATTTTCTGTGATTTTCACTTGTTTTTCTTTAATTGATATGATATTACCATATCCATACATAACCTTGTGAACTGCAAGTTTCATATCAGCAGCCATATATCATTTCTTATGTATCTCTTATCTTACAGAACTGGGCTTGCAATTTTGCACCATTTTAATTGGTTCAAGGGCAGAAATAGTAGTCATTTTGTTTTGGAATGAAGTACAAAAATTCCATCAATGAAGTTTTACAGCCAACACCGTCAACATTGTTGCCGCGTGTCTCCGGCGGGTGAGGCAAACACGTTGCCTACTTCTACTTAATAGGTTGGCAACAACCTACTTGGGAAGTGGATAATGAGGAGACTAAAATTGATCTTTTATTACTGACAAATGAAACAGAATTTAGATTACAGTTCAATTAAATGGCTCTTGGTTGCGAAATGAATAAGTGTGGTGCATAACTGATTGAAGAATGGCCTAGTATAGGAGCATGGAACTAACCTGCATAGGAGTTAAGGAACTAAGGAGAATAGGAAACATGGAGCGTAGGAGCATAAGGAACTAAAGAGCATGGAAGCATTGAGCGTAGGAGCATGGACTAACGTACATAGGAGCATAGGAGTTAACAAGAATAGGAGCAAGGAGCGTAGGAGCATGTAACTAACTAGAACAGGAGCATGGACAAGATGTATACGTGATCTGCCATAAAAGAAAGTAAAACTTATTAATTTTATGCATCATAGCCCTAAGACTATAAGATAAAGAATTGGATTAAATATGAACAAGCATTAATTAACAAGCAGAAAAACAGTAATAATCAAGAAGCTTAATAATGACTTCTTAGAGCAACTGTGTTGCTTATGGATGCAGAAAAAGTAATCAAGCAAACTTATATTGCAGCAAACAGCTTAATGAAGAATTAATGAACATCAAAATATATAGCTTGCAGAATTAAACCATAAAGGAGCATTTATAGGTCCAAAATCTCAAAATACTATGTTCTATTATATCAACTATAGAATTGCTCCATGCTACCATAACTCCATGAGTACCATCAATGCTGATTACCGGTACCTTGCCAGCAGCACTAAAGTTGCCAGCCTTCAATAGAAGTAATATTTTTAGAAACAAGACTGAACCACTTCTATCTAGACATAGCTTGATCAGGAAAGCTTAATATTCATCATGTGGCAGTGATGATATGGTTATCAAACCTTATAAATTATACGTTCTGACCAGTCTTATATACTATATGAGTGGTCTTTAATTACAATGTATGTGGCATTTTTGGGGGCACTTGATATATAATACTAATACTGTCTGTATTAGTATTATATAATATAATACTAATCAGTATTATATAATAAATTATATAATACTGATATATAATAAAGCTATAGAATACTGGCAGAATCAAGATTTTTAGGGTTTGATTGCCCTATAATTACTAATAAGATTTTTTATTGTGCTTAAAATTTGTTGCTCAGTTTTTGTCAACAAAATATAATAGGTATAGTTTCTTTGAAAGCCAGGAGCGCATTTAAAATATGTCCACCTTTTGAGCTGGGACTGAGCTTTACCTCCATTTTTGGAACTGCAAGATTCCTGTTGAATGAATTGCCTCCACAAAAGTCAACAATAGTGCAGAGTCAGTCATAAGATTCCAAATGTATTGAAAATTCTATACTTTGGAGCTCCGAGATTTCAGTAACAAGTAGGAAAATTTCAATCCTATAGTAAAATAAATGCTGTGGCAGAGTTGGTGGCATTGACAATTTTCTGGTATTGGAAAGTAGATCCTATGCCTGCTTTACTGGTCAGCTCATAGGAGGCAAAAAGAAGAGTTTAAAAAGTCATATCTGCTGCTATGTTCATGCATTTTGGGGGAGGCTGGTGGCCTGATCTGGAATATCAGGCAGAATTTTTCCAAAAATCACAGTAAAAATAATCATTTCATGGGTGCTCTTGAAAATTGTAGTCCATAGAATAAAAGGTATATATAATAAGAAGTACTGGTACCACCTAGATTTGCCCTAGACAGTATATATACATCTTCTTTGTAATGTCTCAGAAATAGAAGAATAAATTCTGTGCCATTATTGGCACAAAGTTGCACCATGTCACTAGTTAGAGCAAATTCATTAATTAAAATATTTGAGAGTGTATTGTCCATCTGACAAGAATTCTTGTGGTTCAGAAACACATTTTGAAAAATTTTTATCACAATTTCTGCATTTGCCTTATTTTTATTCATGTGAATGTGTTCTTTTTCTAATAGGATTACAAGATTGCAATGAGCCAACCTAGAAAAAATACAAATGTACATATAAATTCTCCATGTATAATTCTCCATTCAAATTCATAGACTAGAGTGGAGATAAATACTGACTGAGACAACTCGGAAGTTTTTTTAGTTCATTTAATCCCATGATGACCATGGAGGTATTTCCCAAACATCCAAGGCAATATCATCTTGAAGCAAACTAATTTGGCAAAAATCTTCTGTATTTTTTTAGTTATGGATTAAATTCATGGCAAAATTCACTATTCTATGCCTCAACTATCACTCAACACTTGTATTAATGTTGGAATTAGGACTTGAAAAATTTGCCCATTAAAAAAGGCCTTAAGTTTAAATTGGGTATTTTATGGTTAAGGAAAACAAAATGTGATCAGTTCAGTTTTCCAAAGCAATAAAAAAGTGTCTGGAGCTGCTGCTGGGAAAAAATTCATTAGCTTTAAATTTAAGACATTTTCTAATCACAACATTTTTACTGTTCTCGTCCATATTACAGGAAATACCGTATTGTAATTTGCATGTGATGAATCCTCTTATTTGACCTGTTGCCTGCTAAGTATATTGGTTGTTCTTAAAGATATTAACTAGCAAAATAACTACTATTAATTGATTTTGGCTGTCGTTTGCTAGAGAAATTGCATGAGAAATGAGCAGCCAAGTTATCGATTTGTTCGCCAAGTTTTCACTGGAGAAGCTCTCCAGGGACTGGATAGACTTTGTTATTGACTCAGACTTAACAGAGATAGAAGACCTGCCTGGGAGCTTTGAAGACGAGCATGTCTCTACCAACTTCCGCGGTCTGTTTGATGCGGTCATCAGCGAGCTGCGGGCATGGGTCGATAGCCTGCCAGTCCCTGTGGCTAATGAGGAGAACCGCAAATCTATGAGTCTTGCCGATCTCAGTGTCTCTTCTGAAGCTGACGAAGGGGAAAGACATACTCCCAGTAGATTCTGGGTGGATCTCGCTCAAGTGGCGCCAATTAAGAGCATAATGACGTTTCTGTTCTATCATGCGCACATTGGGCAGCGGTATAATGCGCGTGAGTCCGAAAGAGAGCTCGGTTGCCTGGCTGGTAGCCTTTATTTTTTATTGCTGTCCGTACCCGGCAGCAATGCATTTCGTATTTTTCATCCTATTTTGTTCCTCAAGACCCTGGATCTGATGCGCCTCACAACGAAGCTACATATCGGGGCCGTCACGCCCCGAAAGGGCAAGGGCCCTAAAGCCCCAGCAGGTCGTCGACATGCTGATGACCCTCCGGTTGCTGGCGACGAAGATGACGAAGAGGACACCGACATCACTCTACTCACTCAAAGAGAGGCCAACAATCTCATTCGTAACCTAAACTTCTTGCTACTAGATTTTCTCAGGCTTACTGTTAGATTTTCCCTCAAACATTCCCCTGAATCTATCGATGAAACCATTAACATTCTCGTCGATGTTACGAGGAGCGAGACTCATAACGCCCACAGTGTGTTTGTAGGGAAGCCCAACGAAGTTTCAGTGACATCCCTTGTGTACAACTCGTACGTCGCTCTGCAGTGTTTGTGCGCCCATCTCCACGGCAGCATCAGGAAAATAGTAACTCTTGTGCTGAAGCACATCTTGCCTAATATCTTGATGGTATCTCGAGGAACCTCAGATCTTTCAGTGCGATCACTGGGTGTCATCCGAGATCATTCTGTAATATTTGTTAGATACTTGCTAACGCAAATTAAAGAACCTTCTTATGAAGGCGTTTACATACTCGTGCAACACTTGTGCCTTAGAGTTCCGGATAAAGCAGATTTTCGACAAAAGACTTCCCAGTCTGTAGTTGAAATACTACAAAACTTACCAATTAAACTATATACAAAACTGATGCAGTGGTTCTTCAAGTTCTCTCACAATGAGAAAGCTGGCCATCGTTTGTTTACTCTCGAAATTATATCTCGAATGCTGGCTGCTGAAGAACGACATGCCGACGATGGACAGGAAGCTGCCGCTTCTGCCACTCCAGACATAACCAGTGCTGGTGCTAGTCCCGCAACTCCTGCGCGGGAAAGCAACGAGTCTACCTTCAACATCTTGCCCCCAGACCATTCTGTGAATGTACCTGCTAACCGCAATATTTTATCGCACAAATTTCTGCTCAGTATAATATTCTCCCGATGCCGGGACTCGGCTGCAACAGTTCGCTCGAAAGCATTGGCCTTGCTTGCTGAGTGCACGCTCTCTGATAACCCAACAATAATGCTGGCTATGAAGCAGATCTTCCAAACGAATCAACCTGTAGTATTCACAACTCCACACGTTGAGAATAACCAGTTCAATCTAGAAAGTCCATTGGAGGATATTGAAAGTTCGCCAAATGACAAAGAAAACGAAGTGTCTGTTGATATGCCCAACGCAGCCATGGTTCTCACCTTGCTCACGAGACGTTGCAGAGACGACAAAGTCACTGTCAGAAAGAGCGCTTTGCAAGTCTTGGAGAACCTCACGAAGCTTGACAACCAAATGCTGACGAAGGCAAATCTTCAGGTATGCTTTTTCTTGAATAATCTGAGTTATCAATTATGACTTAATGTATTCGAAACTATTGTTTTGATATTAATAAATGAAAAGTCTAAGCCATTTCTGGCAATGTGTTTGTCCTCTTACTTCCATAAATTCAATTTTTCTGTTTCCGGCCAGATTGCTCGTACGATTGAAACGTTTTTATCAGATTTTCTGCGACCACTGCCGTGATCCGGCACTGCTGATCAGGAAGCAGATGGTGGTCGCCCTCACCCAGCTGGTGGAGGACCACCCTCAGATGGCGGCCGAGGCGTGGGTCATGGGAGTGCTGCCTGCCATACTTGACCCTGAGATGAAAGTCCAGGAGAAGGTCACAGAGGTAAAGTCATCGCTATCTCTCATTCTCTTCTTACTTCTAGTAAACGACCGTGATCCACTAGCCAAATCGATTTAGATTGCTTGTGACAAAATAAATTTTTAAATAAATTACGGTACCGTACTCCTTACAGCATCATATCTGTTTATAACCCTAGTTTTCTGAGCAGGTTGTTTTACTTATGAATCAAACGTCTGTTAATGTTGTTTGTTTGTCGAACTGACCAGAACGACTCGAAACATGACTAGCCTGCAATAGGGTTGATTTGCTTTAAGATTCCTTTAGAAATCGGTAATGTTAAGTCTCCAGACTAATGAATTTAATTACTAGCAGCTATGACTTACAGCAACGCATGGAAAAAACTAGAGTAAAATACTACGTAAATTATACAAATAGAAGTACCCAAAAAGAATTGAATCTTTTTGATTACTACAAAATAATGTGGATCACAGTAAAGTATACCGAAAACGTCGTACATCTCGGTTGATTATTCAACTGACTTAAGGCATAATGAAGTTTACAAAATATCAAACGTTAGTGCGATGTAGGAACTCCCAAACACAACTTCAGTCAATCTTAAGTAAGCAAATAGGCGCAAATTATATATTAAAATTATGCATCTATTTATCGCTAATCCCAAATATATACATGTTTTTATCAATAGTGGTGTAAATGAACTGGATCATGTTTTGGTTGTTTCCAGGCAGGAATTTTTGTTGTAACAAATCACTCATTAGGAGGTCTGCACGGCATAACTCTTATTATTTTTTTTAGCTACAACAAGAAACGTGATGCTTTCCTTGTACGATTTGTTATGAAATTTCTGGGCTCTCGACTAAAGTGCCTTTAATGAATCACTTTTTGTATCCTGCACTGACATTACATTATTTCTGAAGATGCTGCACCAAGTCCTCCTTGGCCGGCTGACGAGCTGCGAGCGTCGTGACGCTGTCGAGACCAACGAACTGCCGTACCTGCTGCTGGCGACCGTCACGAGGCTCTCCTACCACAAGTTCCTCAGCAAGGCCATCACCGTGTGGGGCGCCAGTGCTCTGGCCAAGTCAGTGCCTGGCACTTAAGAGTTGTTTTATAAGACACAATGTGCTGAATCCATTTCTTGCGAGAATGTATGTGGCACCAAGTTATTAATATAAGTGGCGAAATAAGTGAATATAGGCGAAAAGTACTCGAGTTGTTGACGGCATAAATCTCTTATTAGGACATTTTTCAACACACGAGTTAACTTAGAAAATTTTTTAAATATTTTTCATGGATGAAAAAGCCGTACTCGTCTATTGCCTGGCACACTACCTTCAAAAACTATATCCTAATGCTACCACTGATGTAAATAGAACGGCAGAGTTGAATATTTTCTGAGTTATAAGCGTTGAAGTAGTTAAACCGTACGAGGTCGTTTTGCGCTAAGCACTATTGGCGAGTGCTAAATGTTGTGGTCGAGTGCGGAGTGATTATTTACAGTAAATCATTAATTGATTCACATTATTTCATCACTCCGCACTCTCTGAGTTGAATATTTTCTGAGTTATAAGCGTTGAAGTAGTTAAACCGTACGAGGTCGTTTTGCGTTAAGCACTATTGGCGAGTGCTAAATGTTGTGGTCGAGTGCGGAGTGATTATTTATATTGAATAAGTAATTGATTCACCTTATTTCATCACTCCGAACTCTTTAGGTTGAAAAATCTCTGAGATATCAGCGTTGAACCTGTGAAACCTGAAGTGATCGTCAGGTTTCACTTGAAATGAAAGGTGATTAATCGTTTACCATGTTTAAACAGACAACGGGTATATCTGCCTCAAACGCTATGGTTCAAGATTTACGTCTAGTTTCTTTTGACACCAGTGTTATATAAAATATTGGTGATATGCTATTGCAGTGTCTGCTTCTCAAATTACGGAATCGCCCGATTCTCCGCCGCATTCGATCGATCCATTATTCGCCACATATGTTCCGCACTTCAGCGTCTTCAGCTACTTCAGCGCCTTCAGCTTTTAAGTGTGACCCGTAGACTCAGCATTTGGGCGTTTTCTCACATCAGCTTTCTTTGAAGTCATTGAGGAGCTCTCATCTGTAGATCCTTTTCTCTTCCGGGCAGTGTTGATGGAGGACAATCTACAGGCATCATTTTTCTCAGAAGGAGGATTATTGAAATCACTTCCACAGAATTCCTGAAGTTGGGAGTTGGTTAACCCATGCGCATGGTCTTGAGTAGTGTTTTCAGGAATGGCGCCAGGATCGATGAGATCGGCCGATTCTGCACATTGAACTGGTGCAGCCATGACACACGCACTTGCTAAAGTAAACAGAGAGATTTTGAGCACGTCTTAATTCGTCAACGGCTGAATGTACTCTCCTCCCGCTCATTTAATTCAATGATTAATTTATTAACCAGACAACGATGTACTGTACGACAACCAAGCGCTGGTGAAACAAGTGTCAGGAATACAAAATTTAGATGGATCCAATTACTTGAAATAATATGATCGTTCAAGCTTAGTAAATGACTACTTAATATTAAAATGTGCTGTTTATGCATTCATTCTATTCATATTTTAAAACATAATTACGATTATCTCTTCGTAATTTGTACAAAAATTTTAGCGCGACCTCCATTTTATTTGGAAGGAAGAGTCCATTAAAGTTTACATAATATATCTTACTGTCCTTTAATTGGAAATAATTAGCCAGATTACCATTCCAAATTTCAGACTTGTATCTTATTTAGGAGGAGAGTTATTGGTTGCCTTCATTGTTAAGAACCCTCATAGGGATTAACGCGCCTGGCGGCCGCTCCACCGGCCTCTTAAGTCCACCCAGCGACCAGCGTGGACATCCGGAAAAGAAGAAGAAGAATAGCGCCTGCAAGTTAGCAAAGGGAATTTGAATGTCCCCTCAAAAGGGACTAGCTAGTGGACTACAATAGTACAATATAATACAAATTTGAATGTGCGAAAGTAGGTACTTGGACTTCGAGGATTTGTGAACACGTTGTTACTTTTAATATAGTTATGATGATGTAAATCCTAGCAAAAGGACTTTTTTGATATGCAATGTTGGTCGTTGGATTTTGTTGCTGATCTGAAAAAAAGTTAAGCAATTTTATGCTCATGGGCCAAAGGGCCATTGCCAATGGGCTGTAACTCCTATGAACTTGAAGGCTATGACTTATTTTTTGAACTGCTAATTTACCTTGTTTGTAGTGACAGACTTCTACCATCAATGCCACTAAAGTCGCCACTCATCACCTCACTAAAGTCACCAGGCTACAGGTACAGGGAAAAGGCAATATTTCTTAAAATGGACCCAATACAAACATTTTGCTAAACCTAGGAAAATACTAGCCTGGCTGGAACATTTATTAATATTGATTAAAGCTAAAGATAGTCTTGATTCTTGAACTCTTGATGCATTTCTTAGGTACAATTAATTTGTACCTAAATAGTTTTGAGATTCAAAATCAAGTTCATATTGCTTGTACTCCAAATTTTAGAGACATTGTAATATAGGCATTAATTTATTCTAACTTTACCTGGCAACCTAAGTGCATACAAATTCGGGATAAATGGCAAGGTTTTGTATGACATTTGCCTCATGAGGCAGGACTTGCAGGATAATTTTTGTTACTAATTTATGCCAACAATGCAATAATTGTGTCTAAGTGTTTTCTCCAAAATAATTTAGGAATCAATTCCCATTCATGTTCTTTTCCATATAATTAGCAATTTGTTTTTAAAAACATTGTAAAATGACTTCCAAAGTTGTTTACAAGACTCGTGCATTGATTGGAGTTACGCAAACAAAGCATAAAATGCTGCATCAGGCATCAAGCATGGAAAACATCTCTCTTTAGGGCTGCAACTAGATCTTTCCAGCCATTTTAGGAAGTGCGAGATTCCCACGGTCCCACCAGATGAATCACCTCCTATCTAATTGTTAAGAAAAGTACACGATAAAGCGTGAAGAACATCTACTGTTAGGGCCGCGACTATAGCTTTCCCGCCATTTCCAGAACTGCGAGATTTCTGCCAGATGAATTAGCTCCTATGTCCTATCTAATTGTTAACAAAATTGCACAATCGTTGATTGGGCCGCAAGTATCTAAATGTATTATAAATTCGTCACGTTGGAGCCACAAGATTTCAGAAACAAGTAGGAAAATATCAATCCTGTGCACAATCAGGCCGCAAGTTTCCAAATGTATTCAAAATTTGTCACACAGGAACTGCAAGATTTTAGAAACAAGTAGGAAAATTCCAATCCTGTGACGGCCATCAGTGCATGGTTTCTGAGCTTGTTTGAATAAGCCAACACTAGTCTACTTTCTTACTAATAATCTTGATAAGGTATACAACCTTGTTAAATCTCTTAAAATGAAAAGAGTAAAACAAATACAAACAATTTCAAGCACGTAAACAAACTTTAAAGCATAAAATGCACATCCTACAATAAATAGGTATGTATATACATTATTTTGTGTGATCAATATGGTACATTCATTTGTTCAAGTAGGCATTTGTTCAAGTAAGTTAATACAATTATTTTGAATCATTCAAGAAGACTTCAAGAAAACTAAGATTGAGGAGGCAGAATGCTATAATGTTCTCAATGCTAATAGATTGTACATCTGAATAAACATGAGATGGGTTGCATTGCATTGAGAGTCAATGGGGGCTGTGTACCAGGCAAACCAACCACACTTACAGAAAAGCATGAGCTATCACTCTGTAATTACATAGAGTATGATATTTGGCCAATAGACGTTTTCCTATGACCCTGGCCCAAAGCTTAGTGTATGCCTGGTGCACTGACCGCAGATTCTAAACATTTTTGGGGAGCAAGGACCTTGCTACATATGGTGGTTGAAGTTTCTTTCAGAGACCCCGAGTCTGTCAAAAGTCGGAGAGTTGAGTGCTCAGATTATGGCCAAGCAATTTTTTTAGTAAATAGAAATTTGATGAATTCTTTTTGATTAGTGCCAGATATTCATGAATGTCATAACTTTAGTGAACATTCCCATGATATGACATGGTCAGCATTACAATATATGGCAATGATGATATGGTTATAAAAAATCATATGGCAATGATGATTTGCTTATCAAACCTTGCAAATATTCTACTTTTTTACCACCAGTCTTATATACTATATAGGTATGGTCTTTAAGGGGAGCGTCTACCCTAAAATTGGAAATTTTCACTTTTTCTGTTTTTATACTCAGTTTAAAGCCAACATTCTGCCCTATCCAACAGTACTAGTGCCATCTCTGTACATTGATATATGATTTCACAATATTTCATGAAAGGGGGGCGGGTGCAGGAGTTCTTTAAGTAATCAGATAGGAACCAATTAGCTGCTGAGCTCCTTAAATATAGTGTCTACTTGAGTTGTGCTGCAATTACGTGTTTAGTCTCATCTTAAAGCTGACATTCTGGCTAATTCAACGGTACCACTACCATCTCTGTACGTTGATTTATACGTTCACAACACTTCATGAAAGAGGGGCGGGGGGGAGTTCTTTCAGTAATTACATAGGAGCTAATTCGCTGCTCAGCACTACAAATATACAGTGTTTCTATGAGGTCTGACTCAGTGTGCCTCCGAGCGTTGTTGGAGAGATGTGCATGTAGTCGCTCCATCATCCTAGAGTGGAATCAAGCTCCAGAAACTTTTAGTTTGGTATCTATGCTATATTGAGCGCATTTTGTGGTCCGCGCGGGACTTTGTTGCTCCTCCTAGAGTTTTGAAGCTACATCAATGAGACATACACCGTTCAATGGGCAACAAAATTATCTACAATTGAACACGGGTGTTTTTCAAATTTTGTTATAGTTTGGATTTTATTTTGCAAAATTTTTACTCAGGGGGGAAGTGAATTTTGCAAAATATACTTGCTATCCTCCGCCGCACGAGCCGCGAACCCAGCAGAAATAGCCGAATTATTGACGTGCGACTCAGCAAAAGTGTCGACGCAGGTTGCATCCCAGCACAAACACCTCCCATTAGAAAATGGGAAAACCGTTATGCCATCTGGTCTCTTACCATCCCCTCTGTCCACTCCAACGGGTTCAAGGCATGAAGGAACGCCAGCGCTCCGAAGAGCCCTCCTAATCACATCGTTCAGAGCCGAGTGTCTTGGATGTCGCCCAGCGCTGTACTTACAAGAAAGGCCATGCAGTCCTCGTGCATCCCTCCGCTTTCCGCACCGACAAGCGTGGGGTTCGCATACATTTGCGCCAACTCGAAGAGCAATTGAGACGCGGAAGGAGTCGGGATCTAGAAGTGTTCCAAGAGCATCCGAAGGAATAGCGTGAAGCCACAAGCCGCTCTCTCTCTTCGCCGCCGCAAGTAGACGAGCCCTGGATATTTGGTCCGCCGCTTCCAAAAGCCGCGCAGCAGAGGCCGCGGCCACAGGCCCATCCCAAGTCCTCTGCCGGCCCAAACTCGCGTCCTCGGGCAAAGCAATACCTGCGTTCCCATTGCGCCACTCATCCACCGCCATCTGCAAACTGTCGTCCTCGGCCAGTCGTACATTATGTAAAACAGCATCAACTAGGCCAAGGACGGAGTGGAGTGACGATATGAACGCAGGGAGCGCGATGTCCTTTGACATACGGATACCCAGGCCTCCCAGCCGGACCGGCAACACAGCTTGTTCAAGAGATTCGCGCTCGAAGCTGACATTGGTGATGGTCGAGAGGGCAGAAACCAACACCTCATTGAACCGCTCCAAATCACCTACCCGCGTATATGCAGGAGACGCACGTAGGACGTACTGGAGTTTAGGTAGAGCGAAACAACGCTTTAAGATTCCGTTAGAAATCGGTAATGTTAGTCTCCAGACTAATGTATTTAATAACTAACAGCTAAGCAAGTCGTTAAAAAGAGGATTTAAAAATTCAATGGGGTCCTCTTCGACAATGAGGAAAAACTGTATTGTGGCTTATTGACTTACAGCAACTCATGGAAAAAACTAGAATAAAATGCTACGTAAATAATACAAATTGATGTACCCAGAATGACATAAATCTCTTTGATTACTACAGAACAATGTAGATCACAGTAAAGTATACCGAAAACGTCGTACATCTCTGTTGATTATTCAACTGACTTAAGGCATAATGAAGTTTACAAAATATCAAACGTTAGAGCGATGTAGGAACTCTCAACTTCAGTCAATCTAAAGTAAGCAAAAGGTGCAAATTGCATTGACACGCAAAAAATAATGCATCTATTTATCGCCAATCCAAAATACACGTAAACGAACTTGAACATGTTTTACACGTAAACGAACTTGAAAACATACTACCTTTCATGTTGAACATGAAATACACGTAAACGAACTTTAACATGTTTTGGTTGCTGTTTCTAGGCAAGAGTCTTTGTTGTTACATATCACTCATTGGGAGGTAGGCACGGCATAACTCTTGGACTTTCTTTAGCTACAACATGAACCTTGATGCTTCCCTTGTACGATTTACTATGAAATTTCCTGACTCCTGTCGCGAGTGCCTTTAATGAATCACTTTTTTTATCCCGCGCTGACATTACATTGTTTTACTTCTTAAGATGCTGCACCAAGTGCTCCTAGGCCGGCTGACGAGCTGCGAGCGCCGTGACGCTGCCGAGACCAACGAGCTGCCGTGGCTGCTGCTGGCGACCGTCACGAGGCTCTCCTACCACAAGTTCCTCAGCAAGGCCATCACCGTGTGGGGCGCCAGCGCTCTGGCCAAGTCAGTCCCCGGCACTTAGTTGCTTTATAAGACACAATGTGCTGAATATATTTCGTGTGAAAACGTATGTTATTACCAAGTACCAAGTTATTAATGAATATAGGGGAAATGCACTCAAGTTGTTGATAGTATAAATCTCTTATTAGGACATTTTTGAACACACGAGCAAACTTCTCAAATTTGTAATGTATTTCTCCTGAATGAAAAATTCGTATGTACTCGTCTATTGCCTGTCACACTACATTCAAAAACTATCCTAATGCTGCCACTGATGTAAATAGAACGGCAGTTATTCATAATAATCTCTATGCCAATTTTTCGATACATGTAAATAAATAAGCTCATGCTCTGTATACATGAATTATTACAGGCCAGGCATCATTGCCGTGACCAAAAGCCACATCGGAGGCGAGCACAACGAACAAGCGTGGCTGTTGTTGTCGCTGTTGTCTCATTGCTTGGACGTGACAGACGCCTCCTTCGCCGTGCGTTACTACAGGGACAACTGCCAAAACGTGCAGGAGGTGCGGCTACCTAACAACATGAGAACATCTTTTAATTATTATTTGTTAAACTGCGTCATAGGAATGAGTTTCTAATAATGTCTCATCTCTTACATAGGTACTTATGAAATATCGTTTGAACAGAGTTCTTGTAACAGTTATTCCATAACATGTTAATAAATCTTTGACTATCCTATCAAGAAATGATCTTCCAGTCTTGTTATTTGTTAGGTGGGTTGGTGTTGCCTGCAAGGAGTGCTGCGAGTGCTGTGCAACAGCATCAAGAGCATACCGGCGCTGGAGTGCGCAGAGTTGCAGGAACTGCTGCTGCAGCCCGTCAAGGACGTCGCTGTGGGGGCCACCCTCATGCCTGCCATACTTGATCTGCTGGTCTTGATTAACGTCAAACTACATGGCGAGGACCAGCCTGGTAACTAGCAAGTTTAGCATTGCATTTCATGGCATCTGAGTGTGTTAAATTTTGATAGAAGGATCCAAAAATTAAAATTAGGTTATTTCAGAGTTATTTACGGTAGAGATGGGGTTAAAAATTGTTATGCGATTCTCAGGCAACTCAAAATGATGGACAACAACGCTCATGGTCCCATATTAAGTAATGGCATGAATTGGAAAGTGTTTGTTAAGGTGTGCCTGCTTAACAAGCTCCCCTTATATGATGTTCAGGCCAAGATGCGATGAAGGTGTGGGTGGCGCCACTCCTTGTCTCCTGTGATGAACATCTACAGAAAATACTCTTTTCGCCGCAGCAACAAACTCCTTTATCTGCTCATGACGAAGAACAGCTCTTCAGGTTCGTAGCGTACACCTTGTAGCAGGAAACTCACGACGTCCGTGCTTAGGAAAAAAGAATTTCAGAGGGAAAAAAGTTGTATTTACATTACTTTCCTTTCTTTGACCCTCCCTCCTCCCCTCCCGTATTGCCCCCTTTCACCCACTTTCTTTCTTCAGTTAATTCGCGTTGGATTGTTCACTGCGATCGAATTAACGCATTTCAGTTCTCATAAATTCCTTAAAATGATCATACAAAATTTTCAGACCTTTTCTCTAGTTGTTGGTATACTCATTTTATATTGAGGGATAGTAACTAGCACTCACCTGCCTAGGATGAACATGAATGGCTCATTTTTTAATTCAGTGAGACCTCAGATGACGTACACCTCCACAAACGAATAATTTAGATAACAACCTAAGCAAATGACAACAAAACAAGGGAGCAAAGAAACAAACGAAATAAAAGCCAGACACCAGCAATCATGTTTAGGTAAAAAACAAACCATAACTTCTCCACCAATCCTTATGCATAATTTTGGTCAGTTTTCTCACAGCACAATGGTCACTGTTGGGCCTACAATACCTGCTCTATTTGTCACAAATAATAGTATGCCTACAGGCGGATATTCCTGCTTGGTGAGGCTGGTCTGCTGCTGCCGTCAGCAGTGAACAAGCGCATGTTCCTGATGCTTCAGAGCATCATTTTCCATGGGCAGCACGGCACTCATGGCGCCACTTCCCCTCCTCCAGGAATCCCGTCGTCCCAAATACAGTCGTCTCAGCCTCTCAACCTCAGCTATGTGCCCAGCGCCAGAGTGAAGGTAGTGAACCATACGATGGTTTGAGCTGTCTTGTAGAAGAGAATAGNGCATGTAATCTTTGTGTACGTTCTAATTAGTTCTGACTACAGTGCATGTAATCTTTGTGTACGTTCTAATTAGTTCTGACTACAGTGCATGTAATCTTTGTGTACGTTCTAATTAGTTCTGACTACAGCGCATGTTATGTTTGTCAGGCGGTGAGTGTTGCAGTGCTGGGCAAGCTGTGCCTGCAGCATGAGAGTCAAGCAAAGCGCATAGTGCCGGCGCTGGGGCGGTTGCTTGATATGCAAGTTGGCCCCGACATAAAGACCAACATCATCATGAGATATTATGGCTTCAAGAGAGATCACGAAGTGAAGCAAACATCATTTGGAATCTGGGCAGATGTTTTTTATTTGCGTGAATAATATTAGCACTTTAAATGTTGATGAATAATTGCAATGTGCTACATTATATCAAGGCTCCATGCTATGTTTTAATGCCATTAGTGATGATAAAACTAACAACATTTGCTATCCTGGGATTGCTCGGGATATTTAATTCTTAAAATTTAAAAATCCTGTGACTCCCAAAGATCGGTCTTGGCTCTCTAGATCGCTCTTGGAAATGATCAAATAGTCTGCATGGAATGCTGTCCTTGTCTCATTGTACGTGACTGTTCTGGATCTCAGTAACAAAATGGTTCACACTGAACTTCTATGCGCAGGTACGCGACGGTTGTTGACCCGCTGATGCCGCAAATGACGGCTTGCCTGCGTGATCCTGACCTGTCGGTGCGACGCACGACTCTCACCCTCGTCATCTCGCTGCTACAGGAGGACTACCTCAAGCTCAAGGGCTCCTTCTTCTACAGGATACTACAGGTCGGTGATCTGCTTTTTTTTACAAATATTACACAATTAATAGTATTGAATGATAACATTTGCAATCTCTGGAACACCGAAAAAATTGACTGTCCTACTTGTATATTTGAACGCACCTAGCTGATATTGAATTCATTTCAATAATTCTAACAATTGAATATATTGTTGAAAGTTTTCCTTATGATGGCAACAATAATCAAGATAATTCGGGTGTATTTCAGTGCCTATGTGACGACCATGAAGAGATACGCGACACGGTCATTTTCTTCCTGACCGAGAGGCTACTCAAGAGATTCCCTAAAATATTCCTGCAGCATTTCATCGAGTGCATTTTCCATTACAACTGCTACGAGGTGAGACTCTTGACGACGCAGTCTCAGCCATTCACTCCTCACCTGTTCTCTCATACTCATGCAGTCACTCCCCTCCTCATGCAGTCACCCCCCACCCCTCAGACAGGGTCACCATCTTCATACCTCTTCTTCCTCATGCCGAACAGTTTAGCTGCTCCACAGTTATCGCCATCACACATAAAGCGATCTCCTTCGTACCTCCCCCTTGTATGTACCGCCATTGCCACCTTCTCCCTTGCTTCTATCACGATGTATACAACAGTATATTAACATCGCCCTGATCGCCTGCAGTAGACAGCACCAGCAATACTGCAGACTAGCAGGAGTGAACACAGGAGCTAGTTCAGTATGAAAAAAGCTGCAATAATCCGCCAAGAGCTAAAATTATTCTCACTACTTTCTTAATTATAATCCATTCAGTTATATCATGAGAGTAAGAAAACGTTAATTTTTGGTAACTGATCAATAATTTTTCATGAAATTTTACTCTATGGTGATCCCCAAGTAGTGATCAGGCTCCCCCTAATCTCATTCTTATTTTTATACTTCTTGTTACATAGCCTGAAATATGCTTAGCTATCCGCCATAACTAATAATATTTTTATATCACAGATTTAAAAAATAAGCTACTCTATCAACATGTACAGTGTAGAATGAAAAATTTATATCACTATTTATGTACCAATTCTGTTATAATCATCTGATACAAAAGATACAATCAATCTGAATGGCTGTATAAAAATAACTGTGGTGTAGTTACAAATTCTAAGAATCTTATTTGCTGATGCGTTCAGGAGCAAAGTAATGCACTTCCACTACCTACTCAGTCATGCCTTCTGTGCACACCCCATTGTATTGTACGGCAAGACAAATTAAATGTAGCGAATATGTTGCAGGAGCACGAGCCATAGAACCCATCAAATGTAGCGAATGTGTTGCAGGAGCACGAGTTACACAACCATTAATTGTAGCGAATATGTTGCAGAAGCACGAGCCATAGAACCCATCAATTGTAGCTAATGTGTTGCAGGAGCACGAGTCGTACAACCGCTTCGCCCAGAACCAGCAGGAGAAGGAGCTGTTCTCTCTGGCGGGGCCTGAGCACCTGGCAGCTCGCATGAGCATCTACAAGTTCATGCTCGAGCACATGGCGGACGACCAACGCTTCTCCATCACGCAGAGGCTGTGTCATGACGTAAGCTAAAATTATTCTCACTACTTTCTTAATTATAATCCATTCAGTTATATCATGAGAGTAAGAAAACGTTAATTTTTGGTAACTGATCAATAATTTTTCATGAAATTTTACTCTATGGTGATCCCCAAGTAGTGATCAGGCTCCCCCTAATCTCATTCTTATTTTTATACTTCTTGTTTCATAGCCTGAAATATGCTTAGCTATCCGCCATAACTAATAATATTTTTATATCACAGATTTAAAAATAAGCTACTCTATCAACATGTACAGTGTAGAATGAAAAATTTATATCACTATTTATGTACCAATTCTGTTATAATCATCTGATACAAAAGATACAATCAATCTGAATGGCTGTATAAAAATAACTGTGGTGTAGTTACAAATTCTAAGAATCTTATTTGCTGATGCGTTCAGGAGCAAAGTAATGCACTTCCACTACCTACTCAGTCATGCCTTCTGTGCACACCCCATTGTATTGTACGGCAAGACAAATTAAATGTAGCGAATATGTTGCAGGAGCACGAGCCATAGAACCCATCAAATGTAGCGAATGTGTTGCAGGAGCACGAGTTACACAACCATTAATTGTAGCGAATATGTTGCAGAAGCACGAGCCATAGAACCCATCAATTGTAGCTAATGTGTTGCAGGAGCACGAGTCGTACAACCGCTTCGCCCAGAACCAGCAGGAGAAGGAGCTGTTCTCTCTGGCGGGGCCTGAGCACCTGGCAGCTCGCATGAGCATCTACAAGTTCATGCTCGAGCACATGGCGGACGATCAACGCTTCTCCATCACGCAGAGGCTGTGTCATGACGTCATAGGTGCTTATCGTGCAACTCATTGTTGTCTGCTGCAGGTGCTCAGAAAATTCCCACCAGCTATTTTTATTAGTGTACCAGTTTATACTTATATAGCCGAACAAGTTAACGTGCCAGCTGTAGAATGTAAGTGTGTCGTATTGCTGTGCCTCAGCCTGCCTGCATCATGGTTCATTAACGTAGCCCCCACTTTTCTGTGCTGGTTAGTGTAAGGCTGTATGTAAAAAGACAAGTGTAAGTGTAAGGCTATATAAAGGCTGTGTGCAAAGAATATTGTTATACCTCAGCCTGCCTGCATCATGGTTCATTAACAGAGCCCCCACTTTTCTGTGCTGGTAAGTGTAAGGCTGTATAAAGGCTGTGTGTGTAAGAATATTGTGCCTCAGCCTGCCTGAATCATGGTTCATTAACGTAGCCCCGCATGGCAGGTGGCGTGGTGGACGGGCGTATGGGAGCAGCAGGCAGCGATGACGTGCTGCGCGACACGCTCCTTGTGCTCTGCAGTGACGAGATCAAACTAGCGTCCCTCAAGTCCAGGCCTGAGGAGGACCATCCCGTCAATCAGGAGGAGCAGGCGCAAATCGCTGGCATGGCCATCAAGAAAACCATCATCTCGCAGGTCGGATTGCTCCCTTGTTTCAAGATAATCAGTATTGCTGCCAGTTTTGATGTGTTTGGCGCTAAGCTTTAAGTCAGTTAATAAAAAATAAGTTCCTTGTCAATCTACCTGATATGTATAGTTCTGTAAATTAAGGCTTCTTTGTATAGTTTCTCCGTGGACTGCATTTAAATTCTTTCCTGGTGCGCAAGAAGTTTCTGGAAAATGATGCAATAGCTGAAGTAACCTAAAAATTTCGCTAAAAATGCTTCTGAGTTGAGCTTGTTACTTGCATAACGTCCAAACTCTGCTCTCCCATCAATTGTCCCTCAATTTCGAGTTACTTGTTAATCACGTGGGGTACTTGTTGAAATCATAAGTGGTTCAATAAGTCGTACTCGCAACGTAGCGACGAAGCTCTGATATGAGCTGGAGTGACTCATTCATTTTCACAAGTTGAGCCGTGCATTGGAATTGCCTCTACTCTTCTAATTTAAAATAAATTGATAACATTTGTCCAAGCAAAACAATGTCTGGTTTCCCTCCACGGCTGATAGTTGCTCAATTTTATGCAGCCCCTCGGGCCGGGAATTTCCCAGGTAGGCTCAGACTTTCTTCTCTCCTTTGTTGCATTAATGCTGTCTTGCATGTCCCAGTAATGCTGCGTAGAATTACTACGTAGAATTACTGTCGTAAGTTCTGTTTCATGACGAGCATATACTTACTTGATCAGAAGCGTCGAAATGATGTCGGTAAACTCTAAAAATTTCGTCAGGATTCCTTGCTAATGAGGAAAATGTGATGTGGCCAATCGTGGACACAATCGCAGTGAAATTCTGCGTTATTGCTGCTTCGTGTTAACGATTTAGTGCCGATGTAATGCCCTTGTTTTAGGCACTGCGCGAGTAAGTGCAGTGGACCAGCTAAATTTTGTCATTATAATCTCAGTTATTATCCTCAAAACTGATAAAAATGGTGGGAAAACCAAAAACTGCTCCTGCTGGAAGCTTGGACATGAAAAGCTTGGACATGAAAAGTTACGTTGATCAAACTTCAAATAATTCGATGTTTGGTGGCAGGTACGGTACATTGAAGGATCTTTCTAGAAATCTTAATTTTTTTCATCCCTTTGAATCTGAATGACCATCTTTTAGTGACAGCCTCCGACCATTTTATTTTCATGACTCCTAAGCCCACTTTCTGCCTAATAAACATTGGCGTCGCATGCATCCTTGCGGGTTGAGAGAGTTGCTTTAGCTAAGTAACATTTGAAAGTGATTAAATGTGTATGACAGCTTTCGCAGCTACTGCACCAAACTAATTTACGGTTCTGACCGTATATTGATCGTGATTTCAAGTATTGCTCTTCTAAATCATGAATTCGCTTTCTATATCATGGCAAGAAAATACAATTTATAAGCTTCTTGTTTTATTTTGTATATTTGTTCACTGTACATCTATCTCATCCGTAGCAAACATCTTTGTGTCGTCGTGGCCGTGCGTCTTCGCTGCTTCTCAATGGAATTTTAGTTTCTAATAGTTTTTACTCGCATTTCTATTTCTATGCTCGCGTGTTTAATCTGTTGATGTTCATTGCTATTTATTTTCTAGAAGAATGATTTGAGATTGAGATATTCGTACCTTCGATCTTGGAATAAATTTAGAATGGTGTTTCAGACCATTTAGTCCTAGTACAACTGGTTCATAAGGGATGCATTTATAACTATCACCCCCATTCAATCCTAAATGATTTGAACTCTTTCCTTAACGATTTCAAACCCAATAAATTTGATGCTCATGTACTCCTACAATTACACTGAAGCATTTGCTGTGCGCATTAAATTGCTGTGAATGGCGGCTAGAAAATCATGAATAATGAAGATGTCTTTCTCCTGCCTTTAGCCTGGCACTGTACATTATTTCTCACGCGTTAATTACTGCGTTTACTCTGCAGGTTGTGAAGCGCAATGTGATTGAGAACATCGTACCAATCCTCATTGCCCTGAAGCACAAGCTGGAGAAGCAGCGATCTCCGTTGATGAAACAACTTTTGCTCTACTTCAAGGAGATAATGAAGGACTACAAGAATGAGGTAAAGTTTGAATGGTGTCATAACTGCTTACACTCATACATATGTACTAATGCATACACTCTTCTTTTCCCCGATTCACAGTCAACATTTTCTGCCTCGTGAAATTTTTTTACATGCTCTTATACCGAACGAGATTTAATGCGCATAATCACTAGGAACAGTTACGCTTTAATTTTTCCGTTCAATGTGTTCCGTGTTGTTAAATAAATGTATATCAGGTATATTTTCAATTTGGACTTACGTATTCAGGTTTAACTCTTGTTCTGATGTTTGTTTCTTTTTAGATCAAAGAAATTCTAGCCGGCGACAAGCAGTTAGCTGAAGAAATCGAATTTAATCTGCGACAGCTGGAGGAACGGCAGAAAGAAGAAGAAGCTGCACAGCGTTTGGCGGAGCAAGCAAGATTGAGAGAAGAAACGAGACTCCGAGGAAGATTAAGCACAGGAGTCGCCGACAGAACTTCCCTGCCACACTTGAAGGAATGCTCGGCTAAGGAAGCCTCGTCTGGTACGCAATCAGCTGCACCATCTCTCGAAAGCCATAGCGGCTTTGGGAACAATTTAACCATGTCAAAAAGTCCCAGCGCACTTGAGTCTAATAGTCCTGCAAGGGCTCAGGATCTGTCTCAGCTGTGCGCGGATAGAACATTGCAAGTCGCTGTTGAAAGACTTTCGCCAAAACGAATAGCCTGCATTAAAGAGAACTTCCTCAAAAATGCAGTGTTAAATAGCCAGCGGTTAGCAAACAAAAAAAGTGTTGCTGGAAATTCCACGGAGACAGAAGAAAATCTGTCCAATGACTCTGTACAATCTCCTAAAATAAAAGCTGCCTTTGAAAAAAGAAGGTTAAACTTAGAGGCTGAAACCGCAGCATTTGTTTCATCTGCAAGAGAAGAGATGCCTGCGCCCCATGGCCCTGTTCATGACGATCAAGTCGCATCAACTTCTGGTGAGGCTCGTGGGAGGACGAGTGATGATGTTGAAAGTGAAGCATCTGGCGAAGAAGCGTCAAGTGACCGCCGTGCAAATCCCGTTAACAGAAACGCGCCGGCAGCATCGACGCAGAAGGAACAGCAAGAAGCGCCGCGACACGACGATAACGCTGAAGATGGCACTGCACCAACCGCAGACGCTGAATTGCGTGAGGCAAGAAGACTAGAACTGCTTCGTGCGATAAGCACTCCTACCCGCAATCAAAGCGTCATTTGTAACATAACTTTCAAGAATCAAACTCAAAATGTGAGTGCGATCCCTGAAAATATGTCGACTTTATCTGAAATAAGTGAGGAGCCATCTAATGACCAACAAGGAAGCATCTTGTTACACTTCAAAGATCCTACAGCTTATGCCAAAGATGACCAGTTCAGCATGATAAGGAAGAGCACCAAACGAAGCCTAGACAATGACTTCAAGAAGTTGAGGAAAACGGAAGCAGATAAAGACAAGCGTAAGGCAAGCGGTGGTCTTTTCGAGTCGGTTTGCAGCGAAGGAGAAGTCGATGGACAAGAAATGGAACAAAGTTTTCGTGACTCGCCTGGATGTAGACCTGAGGTTCTGGTGACCAAGACGAATAAGAAGAGATCAAATGGAAAGCGTAAGAGCAACAAATGAATGAGCGGGTAGTTTAAGACAACTTTTCTACGCTCCATTACATTTTTAAAACTTATTTTATGTTGAGAGGATAAATAGTTTAGCCGAAATTCAGTTAGTTTGTATTTTCTACATGGAAAGGAGAAGACCTGTTACGGTACAAAACAATCAGAAGGTAAGAAGCCGTGCTTTAAAATCTCGTTTTATTTTGTATATGCGTTTAACGATAGTATTATTAGAAAAATTTTCCAGTTCGTAATGTTTTTTTTTACCTTGATGGGCATACCTTCACTTTCGTGGCATTCTCATTACTGACCCGCAACTGAAACATCTACAGTCGTTTCAAGTATCACTTGCAACAAAATCTAATACTTTCATTTGCTCATTTAGTTCCTCAATTGATCGAATGCCAACAACACTCTTAGCTCTGCGATCACTTGACACTGGCCACAATAGCGCCTTCGGTCGATAGCTAATGCGCTTCAGTCCTCACCCAGTCCTCACCCATCCTTCGTGTAAGAAGAGCCATCTGATGCTACAGTGCCTCGGAAATGCCCTACAACTGCCCTACTCCCTCTTCTGTCTCAGTATTATACATCGATGACCTAAGTGTGCAGCTTAGCGCGGGAGTCGTTCGGTTCCTGAGTGCGCGAGATCTGTGCTCTTTGCAACTAACGGTGCAGAACAAGCCTACGAACATTTTCTGCTACCGCTTTGCTCACCGTCTTTATGGTTTGCCCTGGCGTTGTGCAGGGCAGTAAAATGCATCACTCAGCCTACGTCGTGAACCTTCTGTTCCTCGACTACAGACGATGCCTGTCTATATTTACTGACGGCACTGAAGGCGACTGTAGGGTTGTTATTGCTCCAGGCAACCCGCATGCTTGATGTGATGCTGTTACGGGCTGACAGTTGTATGCTTGATGTGATGCTGTTACGGGCTGACAGTTGTATGCTTGATGTGATGCTGTTTTGATCCTTACGGGCTGACACCTCGGGAGTCGGGACACTCCAGTAAGATACGCGTGTATCTATACACGTGGCGTGGCTTCAAGAGACAACTAGACGTGTTCCTGGGCCCAATCCCAGATCGACCTCCCCTGCAACACTACCAGCGGCGAGAAGCAAACAACAGCATCGTGCATCAGCTGGCCCAAATGAGGACGGATGAACGATAATCAGAGGCGGCGATCCATCGTGGCCTGGGACTGCTATGTCCCAAACAAATACTAAGGATACTAAGGTGGAGTGAGTGTGGGCGCAATTCCGCGCGTGTTGTCTAAACGAGGCTTGTAGAAGTTTGGCGAGGGATTGTGGCCGCAGCGCAAACTTGTGAGGTGAACGATTTCAGTTCAGGTTCGTTTCTTGTCTGCCCTGCTAATGTCTGGCATGTGTTCTGTAATTCGTTTATGAGAGAGTTGATGAGAGCGATTATTAGGCCTGTTTGTCGGNGAATACAAGCTTTTATCGGCCCATCCCTTAATGACTAACGACAAAGCACTGCGTAGTCACATCCATCATCTTTCTTCAAAACGTTGAACAGAGTCCGCTAGGTGGCGGCCGCCAGAAAAAAAAGGTTACTCCCCTTACATCTTTCATTCTCCGTGGGGTCCTGTGGTGCAGACGTTTGAATACTAACGAATGATGAGACAGTCGTGAATGCATTTCGGGTGAGCAAATCGCTTGCATCAAGCGAAACTTGGTGCAAATGATATTCTTGGTTATTTTTTTGTGTGAAACGACACTATAAACCAAACCACTGATTACTAGGAGAATTTTCCGACCTGTGATTGTAAGTAATAATTATAAAATAATTTAGCTTGATCAGCCTAGATTAGGCCATTTAGGCCTGTCGTAAATTTATCGAGCGGCCACCTTTCCGATTTCGACCTAAATTTTCACAACTAGTTGCGGGTTTCGAACCTGCACGTCGTCAATATTCGTTTCTATACACGATTCAACGTACACCACAAATGGAAAATACATTCTCAGCACGTGTTGCATCGCGTGATTTCATCAGCATTTTATAATTGTGAGTGAATCAGATTCACGTGACTTCACACCTGCGAACTGCACCGCTGATGGCAGAGACGCGATAGCAGTCATCGCTGCACTGTTGCATTGGGAAGTCGTTTGGTTGTGTTCCAGACTGTCACATTGCCGTACTCTGAAATTGTAAGTTAGTATTGTAATAACTGATTTACAGTGATTTGTTTAGATTGAAAAAGGTTCCTCGTAATTCATTTAAGTTATAATATTTATCCTTGACAAATAAAATTAATTTTGTGAGGAGACTTGCGTTTATTAGTACAGGGGGATTTACGGAAACTTCCTGATTTTAAAGCTCAATAAATATATTATTACAACATAAATTTATTGAGAAGACACAACCTGCATTATTGTGTTATTTAGTTTTAAAGGTGACATAGGACAAATAATACCCCTCTTGCCAATACATTCTGTTAGTCGAATTTTGAAGTTCTGTTCAGCTCGCTGAAGCATATTGACGGGTTTGTTGGCGATGGCTTGGCGTATGTTGTTCTTCAAATGAGGTAAGGTTCTTTGACAGTCATTGTAAACAATTTATTTAGGATAACCACGTAAAAAAATCACACGGAGCCAAATCGGGGGATCGGGCCGGCCGAAGAAGGTGTCCTCTTTAAGGAGATGAAGTCACTACCCGTCGATATGCCGTATCGAGTTGAACTGAACTTCAAAATCGACTAATTGAATGCATTGATAATGTGGCCGTCATTTGTCCGATGTCATCTTTAAAACAAAATTATACAAATATTTAGGTAACCTATTTTTCAATAAAGTTTATATTGTAATGATATCTTTATTAGTTCATTTTTATTTAGCTTTCAAATCAGGAAGTTTCCGTGAATCACCTTGTATGTTAGTGATCTCCAAGTTTGAACATGTGTCGATGAGAGATGCGCTGTGCTAGGCCACTAATTAATTCATGAGTCATCTTTAGCTCGTCACAAGTGCCACGCGACCACAACTAGAACATTCCGTATTGTAGAAGAGCTTTGGGGCATTAAAATCTTCGGTTGAACGCAGGAAATTACTAGCATTAGAACTTATTATCAGGTAATTATTCCAAAGCAACCAAGAAATTGTGATCAAATAACTAGAGTGGGAATTCTGACAAGAATATTGGATGCATTAGTAGACAAATGCTAAATTCCGATGAGAATACTGGATGTATTAGTAGACAATTTTGAATGAGAAATGAGGCTAATAACACAAAATTCAGATAAATGTATTAATGTATTAGTATTGGCGCAAAATAATCATTTATAGCTTAATCTCTCGTTAATAACTTAATCACTAACGTAGTCTCGTTAATTACGTTAGATATGTACTATGCATCATCATGAAACTGTGAGCGCCTGCCGATTCTGCTCATATATAACTTAGAGTTACTTATACAGCATGCACTTTTCATAAATAGTGAGTTTGGGTGCTTCTTCACCTGCAACTTGTATATTTTGAGCTGCAGGTTGCGAATGAAGACCGAACCTCAGAGCAGTCGAAGGTAGGGTTTGTGTGATTGATAATTACATTTTACAAAATCTCGCAGATGGCACCGAGATTCCAAAGATTCAGAGATTCAAGTGAAAAATTTGTTCTGGACGCCGACGTGGCAGAGGTGAACAGAAAAGTGGAAGAAGATCTGCCATCTTTTGTGACCATTTTCGAGGCTGAGAAAGCAGCTTCTGAGTCGTACGCCGGAGCTTGGGCCAAAGCTACAGAGCTATTCGAGTCCAAGTTCGTAAAATCTCTTGGTCCTAAGGAAACGAAAATAGTGAACAAAAACTTGAATGATAAGCTACCAGAATCGCTTCGAGAGAACCCATCGTATCTCCTGGTTGCCGTGATCGTCATCACTCAAGAGGATGGCCAAAATTTCATTGACGAGTTCCATGTGGCGACACGGAGCCTCGTGGCAGAACTAGACTGGTCATCTTACGGTTTTAAGAGCCTTCTGATGCTTCTTAGTCAGGCCCAACGTAACCTATCCAGCCGACCTAACCCTGAGATGAACAAATTCATCTTTAGAACCGCTGATGAGCGCTGGAATTTGAATAAGGGACAGCATCTGAGCTTGGGCTGCTTCTCTTCCTTCACCGTTCGTCGCAACGTTGCCATGAGACATCTGGTGAGGCAAAAAGTTACTTTTTGACGTTTTTCTGAATCAAGTTTTGGGTTTGATATGCTGTTTCGGCCGTAAAGATCTAATTCAGATTGCTCAAATAAGAATAGTATTAATAATATAACGGAAGTTGTCGGTTTGGGTGTGAAGCATCTGTCGCCACTCAGTGAGGACGAACGGGAGGTGCTGGTCTCACCGCTGCAAAGTTTCACAGTCACTGAAGTGATCAAAAGAGCGAAAAAAGGTTTCACTGTCTTCATGCTCGAACCTGTCAAGGCATGAAATGGCTAAGCGGAATATTAAAAAAATGGACCAGCTGACAATTTTTATATTATCGGCATCACATTTCTTGCTCACCATTTGTATAATCCTAATGATATCAGTGGAGCAATTTGAGCTATTGAATGCATTTCAGTATTTTCAATTATTCGATTCAAACATATATATATAATCGTCATATAATCGTTGCGTTTCTGAACGAATATAATCAACATAAAATCTATCTTGCTTCTGCTAAAGCTTCTTAGCATATACTCACTTATACTGCCAAAAATGCGTACGCTATTTTTGAACGCTTAATATGTAATGCCATACATTCAGGACAAATTGCAACCATGACATAATTCGGCAAATTATAAAATTATATCCCTACGTTTTCGCGGCAATATATTAAGTTGGGACTCTTATTCCCTTATTTGAATTAAGGTCTGAATATTTTGTTAACAACTCGCACATAGCTTGGCATATTACTTTTCACGATTTTCATGCTCTTGCAAAATCTATATTATCATAAATTAACTTCAACTAATGCTACTACATTTTGACATTAATATTGATATTATCCTGAGTACTCTAAAAACTAAGGGGTGAGTTCGTCTGACTTATCCCTGATCGTCAGACAATGAAATTGTACCAAATGAAGACGTCAACAAAACTGTAACAGAAAAATATCATTTTTATTAAATCTTGAAGTTTTATTAGCTTTGAATACCGTACGCTTAGCATCTGTTGCATTTTCGCTGTGTTTTGTTACCGAATTGACCAATAAATGTTCAGTCAAACTTTATGACTTTCATTACGATGTACGAAAATAAAATAAAATTTCGCCTTCGATCGTGATCGACTTATTGCTAAAATTGTAGTAACTAATCATCGGAATAATCATCGCTCAGTCAATTACAGTTATCATTAATGCAATCTCTCTTCAGTAGCAGAGTAGTTGTAGGTATAAGAAGACAACAGTTCAGTCATGGGAACTGTTGCACGCTGAGGCTCCTAAGCTGGTCGAAGGTAAATTTGTGGCTCACCTCTGCCTTGTCGTAGTGAATATCTTGGATACATTTAAATCCTGCGAGTTAGTGCGTTACGACTTACGGCGATAATATGTCCCCTGATATTAACGTTATTACAAGATTTAACATGAAGTTTTCCGAGGAATATTTCCTAGCGAGGTTATTCCAGGTACGAATTTAAGACACAGACTCTGTAAAAAATGTTGTTATGTAGTAGAAATATGTCGTGAATTATTACACGGTTTTACCATATTTTCTTATTGTTTAACACGTTGACTACGGATGCTTCATCATGTACTATTACTTCATTTTTTGTACTTTTTGTGCAGGGTTGCCAGATGGTCATTTTTTCCGGACAAATTCCGTGATTTAGTTTATCTCAATTGCGTTGGCCGGCTAAAATTTATGATAGGGGTACTTCCTAATTAAATTTTAAATAGTGCAAAAATAAAATAAATGGAATTTTTATAGCAGAACCCACAAATAAACTAGTATATTTTGAGTTATCGGCCTTTTTTGGCCTTTTTTATTCTCGGATTTGGCCAATTTTAGGCAACCTGGATTATGTACCACTACGTCCTGGAGAAATACATTTCGTGGTACGCATATGTACCACTTCGGAGTCAACGTGTTAAATAAAGGTCAGACTAAATTAGAACTATAGTAATACGAAATTGTATGATGCTGCAAAATTTTGTAATTTTCCATACGCCATAGTGAACAATAAATTCAAATCGAGTGTACATACTACAAATTTATGCCGTTTATCTACGCTGCAGAGCGACGTAAGTGCAATATCCAAGCTGCCTGAAGAACTAAATAACTTCATCGCCATTCAAAGAAGCTGTAGAAAAATCTCAATAATATTAAATCATTTAGAGTGTTTAAAAGCTTTACACACATTGGAGCTGGGATTGTTATTAGAATACGACAAGCTTTATATACGCACATTGGAGCTGGGATTGTTATCATAATACGACAAGCTTCATGCACCTTGGAGCTGAGATTGCATGGCTAACATTTTTTGAATGAGGTAAGAAGCAGTAAATAGGGCTGAACTCTGTTCGCGTCTCAAGAGAAGCCGTAGAGATCGGATTTTAAGGAAAGTTTAACTTATCGCACGGTTGTTCATTTGTTATGACTTTTAAGCTTATTATAAACATATCATAAAGTCGATATTATTGTCTGGATATTTAACAAGTGAATTTTATGAAGGAATAAAGTAATTCATTTTTCTGCTCGATTGTTTATGAAACATTGTAGACTTGTAGGATAAGATAGTTGTTTAAGATTTAGTGCAATCAGTCTCGACATTTATTTAGAACAAAGCTTTACAGCAAAGAAGAAGGAGCGTCACATGCATTGGAGATTGAAGGATTCCGTACTCATCTAAAATATAAACAAATTACACGAATATATAAATATTAACATGATTAAGAGATCAAAATAATTTTAGAACAACAATTCATGTACACTAATTACATGACGCGTTACCAAACTGCTCGTGTTCCTGAGAATAGCGCTCAGCAAGAAATTCGCATTGATCAAAGAATTTCTTTCAACCAATGAACAGATTCGAACGAAATTTTGAATATAAGTTCCTAACTACCAAACGGTGATTTTTAGCTCGAAAAAATTTATTCGAGTCGGAGTCATATTCTGCACGTGCTGTGTACAAATCGTCAAAAAAACGTACGAACTTCTGACTGAGCGGACTGCCGCCCCCCTACTGCCCCCTTTCTTTTTCACCGTCCCCCCACCGCCTCACCCTTTCTTCCACCGCCCTCAGGGGGCCGATATCGCCCACTTTGGGAACCACTGGTCTAGACTGACTCTAGAGTGACTGGCCAGGCCTGACGAGAGGGGCTATTGCTTGCAGTCGAGCGTACAACAACCTTACAGACGCCCGATCAATTAACTCAAAAAAAATACACATACTTCTTGAAGAAAACAATTAAATTAACCCATACAATCAATGCACGAAAATTGAATTTATCAAAAGGAATTTGAGACGCGCAGTGAATATCAAATCAAATCCCCGTGTATGAGGAAAGACGTAAGCAGTACTCAGTCAGGATACCAAGAGAGAAGGAACAGGCAGGAGGTTCCAGTGGTTGCCACCAACGGCAACACATGCTTGAGGCCGCGTAGTTGTAACTTGTACCTCGGCGTTCAGTGTGGTAGGAGCTGGCGAGTGATAAGGGGGTGTCGAAAGCAAGGCTCACGCTTGAGACTACAACGCGGACTGAGAGCGATCTTCAAACTCATCGTGAGTTTTACATGACATGTTTTAGGTGTACTTTCAAGCGAGCGTGGGTTCAAGTTCAATTAAATGCGGCGATGAGAAATTTTATCTACTAAGGTTATTTGCGATACGCAGAGCGACCACATAGTTTCGAACTATGAATGATCGGTTCCTATCGAACGTGAAATAAAATTTTCTATGTGTTGAATTTAATAATTTGCTGACCGTTTTAGAATTGTCACCCATATTGTGGTCGGCATCCACTGAATCTCTTACACAGAGCTATAAAAAATTGCAGGAAGTTATAAGCCCAGTGAGAGTCCTGTTGCTTCACGATATGACACTTTTCATCCTGTAGGAGGCATGATGTTTCGTGTTACGACACGTATAATTACTTCAAGGTGTTCGTATTGTTTCGAAACGTGTAATTGGTCATTTAGCATCCATAAAGTGGGCTCTGGTTGGTTACATTATTACCACATTGCACATTTGTCCCTCGCAGATGTCCTGATGGGCTATTATCTGTTAAGGAAGATAACGACGACACGGAAGAAATTAAAGCAACAACTCGGCAAAAAAGTATCTTTAAAAATTTTTTATAGCGTAAATTTATGCTTACTTTATTGTCTAACACATTCAACACGCAACGGTACATTGTCTGCAGTACCTAACGCTTAGAATTTTCTTCACATTACCTATTGCTTGTGCAAATCACTGCGCTGTAATTCCCACACGAAGAACTTGGTGAAACTTTATTCAAGATTTGAACGGAACTTGTAATTTTTTAAATGCGATTAGCCTGTGTCCTCGATTAACTATGTAATAATTCAGCCTTCTGCTCTTTGGCCATCTTAACGCGACAACGTTAAGACAAGGACAGCGAGATCACGATCAATGTAATACTTAGGATCATGGGAAAAATTTTAATTGTGCCGTCCAGATTCTCCAAAACAACTGTGTATTCGTAAGTTCACTAGTAAACCTACATCATCCCTGTAAATTTCATGCAATACCGTTGTAGCTGCACCATTGTCATGGAACCAAATGTTGCTAAACTATTAAAATTACCATAGCTGTAATTATTTTCAAGTATCACTAGGAGCGATACTAAGAAATGACCTCGGAAAACATGTGGCCCTACATGAGAACACCGAATTCTAAAATAATTGTACAGGTGGGTTCCAAGTATGTAATTGGACAAATTTTTTATACGTGAACCCTAATTGACGATTGCATGACACATCTACGAGACAAGAAACGCTTATCGTTGACCGCCTCAGCCAATAGCCTTCAGTCACCCAATACAGTCACAGGACAGAATGCTTTCATGACCAGTATAGTCTTGTCATTGAAATCCTTAACATCTATTCCGTAAGTCCTATAACTCGGCGACGCTTTATTTATCTGCCGTGAGGGAGAATCGTCTGGCCGAAAAACCTTGAGGATATAACCCGTTGCCCTTGACAGCG